TATATATATTTGCGGTTTCTTTTTTTCTCAAATGTAATGAATATTTTTACTTTGCATCTCATAATGGACATAAATCACATAACCAAACCACATAAAACCTCACTTATTTAATGTTCTTCGAATTCCTTAGCCACCTTTAAAGTAACAATGACATAGTTGTTTCTTAATTGGGACATTTAAATAAATGACACCCAATTCCTATGTATTTACATATCTAACGCCCACATTTTACTAGTTACATTTATATCACTCAACTTTTCATATCACATCAAAAATACCAACATTTTAACTCCAAAAAAGTAAAATACACCATTTAATGCATAGATGAGGTGTATGTATGTAAAAAATTAAAGTTTTGGTGTTAGATATGATAATACATAAGAATTAAATTGTATGTACTTAAATCTTCTTAATTCTCATCCATAAACTCAAGACATGTGATGTCATCTCATTTTAGGAGAGAACGAGATCATACCATTCATATTTCCATCGTCATGGGAAATGAATCTACATTGTCACAACAACAACAAAGCCTTAATCCCACTTGGCTACATGAATCCTTTTTCTCCATTACGTCCTATTGAGTGTCATATTTTCATTTAGTTCTAATAAATTAAAATCATTGTTTATACAATAAACCCAAGTCTTCCTAGACCTACCTATGTCTTTCTTAACATAAATCGAATTTAAAACATCTATTCTCCTAATCGGATCATCATATGGTCGACACTTAATATGACCAAACTATCTAAGACGACTTTATCTGATTTTGTGCGTCACAGTTGGTCGACGAAATGATGGTCGTCGAAATGAATCTACATTGTCGGAAGAAAAAAAACAGTTGGCTGAAGAAATTAAGCAAAAGAATGATGACAAATTTGAGTCGCATACGTAGCTTACTCCGTTAAATTCGGAATATAATATCGTAGAACCTTCCAATCACAATATTATGAGCATCTGTTTTCTATTTTTCTCCATCTAAAGAAGATTGTTTTGTTCAAACAAAGTTCTTACCAGCTAAAACAAAAGTACCGTTCACACACCTAAAGTTCAAGATGTTTAAATACCTTGGTCGCAATCTCTATACAAAAATACACCTTGAAGAAAGATTTGTTATTCAAATATATTCAAACCGACATATTGGTAATGACAAAATATTTTAGAAATATTCATGGTAGCTATGGTTTTAAAATGACCAATGAATAAGGTAAAGTCATTGGATTTTGTCTTATTATTTTATTATTGCTTATAGTTTTTTTAAGAAAAGAGATGAAGATATCATCACAAATAATAATGGATCTGAGAAAAAAGATCATCGTGATTGTAAAGATTGTAGTCATTTCAATTGAAAATTTGAGTAAACATCGATTATTGGTTTTGGATTTCACGATGAAAGGTTAGAATATGAGATATAACAAAATATTTTCATAGTATTGGATGAGGACACAAAAGACAAATAAAATTATTTTTATGAGTAAAATTCAAGATCTTAAGATTTAGGGTGTTCATGAAGAAACTAATGCAATGTGGGATGAAATAACAAGTAGTATTAATGGAGAATCAAAATGAAAATTTTTATAAATAAAAATAATTTGGGGTGAAATAATAATATACAAGAAAAGATAAAATATGAGAACTTTTGTTATAAAAATTGATATTAAAAACTCTGATAACTGGGGGAAAAAACAAAGTAGCTCATAGGGAGTCTAACAAAATAATTTATCATGCTAAAAATTATGCTTTTAGTGATCTTTATAATAGATTAAATACTAAAGAAGATGAAAAATATATGTATAAACTAATCTAACAAAGAGAGAAGAAAAATACCAAATTTAGTTGAAGCAAAATGTATTAATAATGAGAATCAAAAAGTTATTCTCTTAGATAAGGATGTTTAACATAAATCGGTAAGATATTTTGCTAAGCATTTTAATAAATACTTTGAAAATAATCGACTTTAGTAATCTTAATATAATTAATAATAATAAAAACTTTTAATTTTTATCATATTAGTAAAATGGAAGTTGGGGAAACTTTAAAAAAATGAAGGGTGGAAAATCAATAGGATTTAATGATTTTCCAATAGAAATGAGAAAATGTTTAGGGGATTTAAAAATTTCTTGGCTAACCAAATTTCTTAATATAATTTTAAAAACTAAAAGGATGCTTGAGGAGTGGATAAAGAGAATCTTGATCCCTATTTTTAAGAATAAAGAGGATGCACAAGAGTGTGCAAATTATAGAGGAATTAAGTTAATGTGTTATACATTAAAATAACTGGGGAGAGTAATTGAACATAAGTTAAGACAATGATTTCCCAAAATCAATTTGAATTTATGTCGGGGAAGTCTCATATGAAGGTTATACATTTATTGAGAGATTTGATAGAGAAGTACAAAGAGAGGAGGATCTATATATGATTTTTGTTGATTTAGTAAAAGTTTATGATAAGTTACCAAGAGAAGTTCTTGGAGAGTCCTAAAAAAGAAAGGTGGTGATATGACTTATATTCAAGTCATTAAAGATATGTATACTAGAGTCGTTATGTGTTCAAACAGAATGAGAATTGACCAAGTATTTTCCTATTTCAACTAGATTACATCAGAGATCGACTTTAAGCCCATATGTTTTCGCTTTAGTAATGGATGTTATCACTAGACATTTATAGGAGGATATACCTTAGTGTACGCTTTTTGTTGATGGCATCCTTCCTGTGCATAAGACTCCAGAAAGAGTTCAAGAAAAAACTTGAATTATGAAGGTCCACTTTAAAGTCCAAAGGCTTTTGTTTGAGTGGATCTAAAATTGAATGCATGGAATGTAATTTTAGTAGTAGTATACCTCGTGGTGGGGTTGTAATGATGGGTGATCAAGTCATTAAAAGGAGTGCACATTTTAGATATCTCGGTTCTATCTCTATTGTTCAAAGTGATGGCGAGATGGATGGGAATGTTATTAGTAGAATTCAAGTTGGATGGTTGAATAGGGGGGGATGCATCAGGCTATTGTGTGATAGAAAAGTATCGCCTAGACTTAAAAAAGAAATTTTATAAGATGGTGGCGAGACTTGCAATGTTTTATGGTGCAGAATGTTCGCCTTTAAAAGAGAAGCATAAAACTAAATTAAGTGTTGCGGAGATGAGAATGCTTAGATGGATGAGTGCCTTTGCACTTAGAGATAAAATGTGAAATGAATATATTCGGGAAAGCGTTGGTGCACCTCCCACTTAGAGATAAAATGTGAAATGAATATATCCGGGAAAGCGTTGGTGCACCTCCAGTGATAGACAAGATTAGAGACGTTTTGGATGCTTTGATCACATTAAACATTGGCCAATTGATGATCCTATTAGGAGAGTAGATATTTTGGATGTGACTTATGGTAAAAAATGAAGTAGACCAAAAAATATTTTGGCATGTTGTACAAAAAAAGATGTTTATCTATTAGAATCTAATGAAAATATGACACTCATTAAGACACAGAGAAGAAAACACCGACCCCACTAAGAGGGATAAAAGCTTATTGTTGGTCATCATAATCTCTATACAAAGGATGCTTGCTCTCTACTTCACTCGTCTCGATGAAACATTGCTGCTATAGTAAGAAATTTTACATACATAACACAAGATTCTAATGTATTACATACCTAACACCTTACGATTGATATTGACATATATAACATAACAATTTGGTGCTAGATAACAATTTGGTGCTAGAAATATATGCATGAAAAGGTGTATTTCACTTTTAAAATGTTAGTAATAGTGATTTTTTAATATGATGTTCACGATTTGAGTAATATGCGTGCAAATATGAAAGTTTAGGTGCAAGATATCAATTGTGGGGTATGTATGTAAATGCCCCTATTTATTAACTACGCGTCCCATCTAAGCTAGAAAACCTAACGTTAGATTAACCAACCATTCGAATCAAGAATAATAAGGAGAATATTTCCATCATGAAGAAGCTTGGGATCCCTCATCTATCTCTGGAGTATTGAAGAGTACAACTTTGGATCATTCTAATTGCACATTAATGACATTAACTCTATAACACAATTTTAATTTGCAACTTCATTCACAGCATTTAATTCCCATCTATTTAGAAAATTAACACTCAATTACTTCATATACAATAACATCATCAAAATCTCAAATACCAAAACAAAACACACTTTCATTTGTTTAGTTTCATTGAATTCTCAATAATTTAATTGCAAAATACCCAAATATCCACGTTTAATAATTCATATTTAAAGAAATGAGCGTTATCGTTAACAAAAATAATTTTGATGACATGCACATAATTCTCTCAAAAATAAAAAATTTAAAATTCCCAGGCAGATACAGTACTTTTACATACTGCTATAACTGCTAGATTAAGAGGTTAATCTAATGATACTTGACATAATTGAGCAGTCCAAAATTTTCGAGTTAAATTAACAGCCTTAATTGTAGTACTCAAAACGTGCCTCAAGAGTTCTACCACCAGTAGAACCTTTAAACATAGAGGTAGTTGTCAGCTCTTGAACAACTGAAGGGTTGAAATAATAATTTTTTTTTCATTTAGTTAAACCTACTAAACTAGGCCACAGAACAAACGTAACATGAAAATAGGATTGCTTGGGAGTTCAAAATACTTACAAGTCTCGCGAAGCACAATTTCTTGAAAAACTCAAATTATTATAGATAGCAAAAACCAGTTCCCTCTTCTGTCAAATCAAGGAAGTTAACATTAAAAAACACTTTATAAAAGATACTAAATACTGTATAAAAAATCAATGTTCTACACAATATATTTCTATAATCATTCATGAGATAACAATCGGACAAAATTTCATCTCATTCCAGCACAAGCTCGGAATATACCTTAATAAACCTGGCTTCCCATATCAAGGAGGGCAATGGTAGAAGATCAATCTAAATGCTCTCTGGTAATATTAAAAGATAATAATTTCCCATCTTCACCTGGACAAAGGAAGAGCAATAGCAAAAGAATGGCAGAACTCCGTTGTAATTTCAAGGCTTACAATTACTTGGAGACTTTCCGGCCAGTAAGTTTAGTTTTCTTTGAGTTTGGCTTCTTCTGCTTGCTCTGCTTTGGTTCCTTTGAGCCTTCAGATTTGCCAAATGGATCGATATCTTCATACTTTATCGGGTTAATAATTACACCAGCTCTCTTGACAACCTGAACAGCAGAGTCACGTCAGCACTAAAACATAAAGGGAAATTTATATAAATACCACCCAATTCCTTTGTAATTACATATCTAACCCCTAAATTTTACTTTTTACATTGTGTAGTACATAAATTTTCATATCACAAAAAAAAAAAAAAACCCCATCATTTTCACTTTTAAAAAGTCAAATACACCATTCCATGCGTAGTTAAAGTGGTATGTAACATAAAAATTAAAGTTTAGGTATTATATATGTAATTATGTTGGTATATAATGGTATGTATGTAAATTTTTCCAAACATACAACTAAATTAAAAAATACAGTGGTCAGAAATCATAGGTATGTAATAGTACACATGGTTTTACGATTTAGGATAAATTGGACATAAAGTCCAAAACTATTATGGATGAAAAGATGGGCTGAACCTCTTTAAACCGGGAAAGAAAAGTTTCTATGACTGACCAGCTCAAAAATAGGGCTGATAAAATCACTTGAAAATATAAACATGTTTTCTAAGACGATAGAATTTATAAAGGTTCCATCATTTGGATGGAATTAACAACAGTTTAATAATGTTAGTTAATAATCGCCAAAACTCAAAGAAATCTTAGAAACAAATTTCCAAGTACATCCATTTAAACAATGGGTTCAAAATTATTATTTAAATCTGCATCAAACCAAACAAAGAAAATTAGAAATTCAAACTTAACTGAAAAAAAAGATTGAATGATCATTGCTTCATCGAAAACGACAAAAATGAGAAGACCTTATTTACAACATCAACTGCTTGAATCTGAAAGCAATGTTAATTGCTATTGTCATTTGTACGCACTCCATCAAACAAAGTTTTAATCATCCTCAAAATTTTAAAATGTTGAATGCAACGGTAACAACAAATCAAGCACACTGTGGCCAATATCAAGTTAAACTAGTGAGGTTTCACTCCATGTGGACTTGGTGAGACTAAATAAAGGGGAGAATTAGCCTGGTATTGTATTATTAACACTACATTCCTTAGTAGTATAATCAACAAATATTACTGTTATGGATGCAAAAGGAATTTCTAAAATACGAAATATAGATTTTTCAAGAAAAAATGCTCACAGCTGGTCGATTGAGAGCTCCAATGGATATTGCTGGATTATAGTCTGGTCCAATAGGCATGCGGATGCTCTGCTCGTAAGCCTCATTAGAAGTATAAGGGAAGGGCAAAGTCTTTGCGAGAAGTTTCTCAGCCTAACAAACAAGAATAGCTTGAAAAGAATGACACAATAAATACACAAAGATGGCACACCTAAACACCAGAAAAAGTAATATAGAAAAATTTTTTCCCTTCAAGATTTTCATGGGTATAATTGATGAAAATTCATGCTTTCAAAACAATGAAGGTCAATTACAAAAGATGCACCCAATTAATAAACATGATGGTCAGTATTTAGCTGCTATTTAAAATGCGATGCGTGCCATTAATATCATAAGATCTCAGGATTGAAAAACAAAACATTTTTATCTTGGAAATAGAATAAGAGAAATAATAGAGAAGGATAAAATATGAGATTCCTACTAGATAAGACTTGATATCAGACCAACCGTTTCTCTCCCCGACAAAATGAACACAATTAGAACCAAAACTTCTATGTTAAACTTTCACACTTCAAAAAGTTGTGTGGACAAAACAAAAAGATAAGCATCCAAATTCACCTAAACCAAGAACAGACGAAAGAATACAAAGCCAACCAACTCTATCCGAAGCATTTTATAAATTTCTGAAAATATACCTTTTTGTCAATCTTTTCTGAGATAATAACATGTTTCAGATGCGAATCTTTCCTTTTCTTTAGGGATTCTTCTCTCTTCCTTTTAGCTTTTTCATGTTCTTCTGTAATTATAGAAGGAATACCCTTTTTCTGTTGTACGTGAGTCCACTGACCCCATCCAGGAAGTAAAACAGGTTTTTCGGGTTCAGGGTTCTCTTCATTAAGGACATTTATTTTCTCTTTTTCAAATTCCATTTCAACATCATCACCAGCAAAGGCACGATGTTTAAGTTCATCTTGAGATGGTAGTTTATAATCATCAGACTTAGGGTGAGCAGATAAAAACCCATCCACCATCTCCAAGTCTGAATCAGAATCACTGTTGTCATCAGCTTCCTTCAATTAAAGCAAACAGCCTATTATGATAAGCCACTAACTCTCATAATACACACCATTAAAAAAAACAGAACCAAAATATATACCACCAAATTCTGACTCGGAAAAACAAGATTATCAGCTACTGCAGATTTCTCCGTGATATTGTCGCCAGTGTTTTGACCTCCCATCTGCTTGTAGTAATACCAATACATATAAGGGGCATTTACATACGTAACACCCAATTCTTATGTAGTAACATATCAAACACCTATACTTTTACAGCTAAACAACCCAAATTTTTAATATCACATAAAAAATACAATTATTTTAACTTTTAAAAGGTGAAATACACATTTTAACTCATAGGTAAGGTGGCATATATGTAAAAATTGAAGTTTAGGTGTAAGATATGTAAATAGATAAAAATTAAGTGTTATAGACGAAAATCTTCCACTAAATAAATGAAAAAACAAGTAGATGCAGAAGGTTAGCCCAAAAAAAGCAACCTTTTTCCAAGTGTTAGAAGCAAAAATTGCCACTTCATAGGTTGTCTTCAATCCGGGGTTTTTAATAATATCATCAAAAGCCTGCTCAGTAAAGATTAAGCATTCCAATCAGAAGCAAAAAATATAAAGAACCTGGAGACATAGCCATAAAGGAATAAAGTAAAATACCTTATATATTGTTTCCTGACCTGTTTCTGCATCATCAGGAACAAGTGCAGATCCAATCAGGGCATCCTGTGGGCCACTTTCAACTTTATGTTTGTTTTCTTCCTCTCTAACCTCAAACTCCGCTTCACTATCACTATCATTATGATTTTCAGATTCCCTAGTACTAAGCATCATTGGCTGTGATTTAGCTCCAACAAAAACTCTTCTACCACTTCTTTTATCAGTTGATTGATCAGCCGCATCACCCTCCAGTTTCCCCAAAGATAATTCATATTCTTGAAGAGCAAGGCGAGCTTCTTCATGAGCAGCCTCTTTTTGTTTTTTCAAACTACGCTCCTGCCAAAATTAGGAAATTTATCACAATCATTTCTGCATATATCATAATTTAAAAGCAAAAGTGACAAATGACAGCTTGCAATTAAAAGAGAGTTAAAAATTTAAAGCTGCTTGCTCCAGGATCATCACAACTAGCAATTACACAAGCAGTTAGGTTGCTCCCTTGTATTTATAATACAGATAAGATCTAAACTTGCTAATCTTTCTTTTAACATGAAATTTTCTAATGAACAAGCCATGTTCTTCAACTAATGCTCCTTTTTTTTTCAATTGCCTTCGTCTAAATCAGTTCTGGACCCATTAATTTACTAATAAAAACATTGAGGATAGCCATATCCCAAGTATTTAAACTAGATTTTACCAAGCCATGTTCTTTAATCAATACTCCAAATACTGTTAATGCTAGTCTTTTAGATGACTTAGAGCCATGTTAACTTTAACCTTTTTTTTTATGGTTCCATTCTTTTCCTTCTCTCCATAATATTGCCAAATCTTTGGTGCAGGAGAAAAATTAAAATGATGTGATATATGTAAATCATATAAGAAAACTTAGGGTTTGCATATCACAAAATTCTGAATAAGCCAACAACTTTATTTTCTTTACATGCAAATAGTAAATAATAGAATTAGAACAGATAAAATAATCCATTATGGCCAAAGAAACTTGAAGTAATTAATGAGAAATTCAAACCACACAAAATCAGGTAAATGTAGTTCAATTACCATAATTAGAATTTAGTTGTCCTGAACAAAATCAAAATATTAGTAAGTAAACATATAAAATAAACTAGGACAAGGGAATAATTACCAAATTAATAAATCCATGACGCATGTCGCTACAAGATGACTTACTGAAATAAAGTAGTTAAATTTATAACGCACTAAAAAGGGTCATATATCCAACAAGCCCACAAGATTAAAACTAAAAAATACATAATTATAGTCAATCAAAAATATATAATTATGTCTAGGATCATTTATTTATAAAGTTCTTATCTATAAGTTCATAGATAAGGTGGGAAAAAGGTAAACTGATTTTAAAAAACCATCTCGTTCATTTCTAAATTTTATCCAAAAATTAGAAATTAAAACTAACCCAAGTTAGAATTCCCCATAAATAGAAATTGGTGCCTTCTTGAAGAAAAAAAATCATGTCACAAAACAAGAAAGATAAATAGTGATCAAGTAACCATACAAAAAATTCCCGCAACAATAACAAAAACATCAAACAACAACAAGCCTTTATCCCACTAAGAGGGGTCGGCTACAGAAAAAGCCCACAACAGGGGAAAAAAAATGTGATGGGCATGGGAAAGCCCAGAATAGTGGCACAAGATGGTATGCAACTAAGTAGTGCGATGAAGCCTGCAAGCCAGCCAATATTGTGAACTACAAAATTAATTATTCCTAAATATGAATCAATTCAGAAATGATGTAGCGTCACCAGCACCTAATAATAGATCAACATCTCATAATAATGAAGTGTGAAGTGTTGGACGTGTAAACCGTGCCTGTGTCAGATGCAAGCCCAAATAAAAGAAAAAATAATAATGCATGTCCAATACACGTCCTAAATAACAAATTTTAGCAGTAGAAGTAAATTATATGAATAGATTAAATTAAACCACTTATTTTCTTTGTTTTTCTTTTCTTTTAGAATATATTATTATATGACTTCATAGCCATTTAACATTATTTTTTTTTATCTACAATACTTTATTATTTTTCTTGTAATACTTATTTATTTTTCATAAAAGAAACAATTTGCTCAATTTTAAGCTAATAAATCATAATATCATGTGTATTTTTCTTCTAGTGAGTTTAGTGTGTTTAATAAATTTAAACATATTTCATATTCTATAAGCAATTGATATGGTTTATTATTATATAATTATTTCATATTTATTTAATTGTGTAATCCTTATAATTTTTTTTATTTTTTAAATTATAATATTATATTATTGTGTCAAATGCATGTTTGTGACTTATATTTACAAGAAGAGACATATCAAGTGTTCATGTTGTATCATGTTCATATTCTTGTATCAATATCAATGCATCATTGCTAGCACGTGTGCCGAATAAATGAATTAAAAAAAATTATTACAAAAAATAAATAATATATAGCATTGTCTAAAATAAAGAACTTGCTATCACAAGTTCGATGTCCCAATTTATCTATTTATTTGTATAAGAAAATAATTTAGATTTAATAGTTTCTTTGCATGCTTTCATCACCACCTTTTAGTTAAATTCTTTTCATTATAACATGGATGCCATGTTATTAGCCTTTCTTTGACTTGTTTACCACATATGGAAGTTACACTACACAGGAGCTATAGTTAGGGCTCTCATTAGTGTAACTCCCTAGTTTAAATCATATGAAGGACTTGAAGTCATCAACCGCATCAAAAAGAGAGTAATGTAGAATTAAATATACACCACGGGTTATAACATTATTCAATAGGAAAAATAAAAAAGACAAATATTTAAAAATCATATATACAAGTAATTTTAACTTTTGACTCTACATGTAAGTTTTAAGTTTCTTTGCATTCCTATGGCGACAAAAAGCATATATAGATATAGTTAAGAAAATAATAGGTTTTGACCTCATTTTTAGGGAGGTTTAGTTTCTTCTTAGGATTTAGGGTCTAGTCTTAGGATTCTTCCTTCGACTATCTTAGATCCTTAGAAATGAGACCCACCTCATTTTAGAAATTCAAACTGTCTCGATACTCTTTTGAAGTTCCGCATGCGGTTCTTGACCTCTAGCACGTAGGAGGTTGAAACTAACATGAGGGAACTCAAAAGGAGTTCCTATAGAATCATTAAGCCCTAAGGTTGTCTTTTGCACAATTTGCACTTTCGCACGCACAAATTTCGCGATTCGTTCAGTTGACACGTTCGATTACTACAATGCACATCGTTTGTGTCGTTATTCGTCGAAAGCTTAAATGACTTTTTTTTTTTAATGATCGACCGCGAACTGAAATTTTGACAAAAAAAATTGAATTTGACGCATTTTTTGACCCAATCGGCGACGAGGTTGTCCAAACAACCCCGGATGACAAAACAGACAGCATCAGCGTGCCCGAAATGCCGATTTTAGCTAGAAGGGACACCCATTTTGCTAGGGTGCCGCGTACGAATAAATTGAACGAAATTTAACATTTTTTTTAAAATAAAAAAAGAGAAAAATCCTTATTTTAAAATCCCTAAATCCCTAAAACTCACGCACACCCCCTCTGATTCGCTCTTCTTCCTCTCGGTCGCGGAACACAGCCGACCCCTTCTCCCCTCTTCGATCGCAAGGCCTAGCCGAGCAACCCTCCCTCTTCGTCGCGAGAGATCGACCCGAGGTCCCCTCCTCGTATGCCTGCATCTCTGAAAAAAGCTTCCACCTACTCCCTCTGTCGCGCTTCGGCTTTCCCCTCCCACGCCTCTGCAATTCTTGTCGCTTCCTTCGCTCGTCTCTTTCGCGTCGACTCACCCCAGGTAGGTTTGGATAGGCTTTCCCTCCCTTCTGGCTATAAAAACCCCACTTGGGGAGTCTTGAGGGCTGGCCGAATTTTTGCAAGGGGAGAGGTGCTGCCGGATTTCCATTTGAATCTCTTTGGTTGCCTCGATTCGTTGTCGGTTTGTTCTTCACTTTGGTAGAAATTTTCGTTCATGCTTAGGGAATGGTTAAATGGTAGGTAGTTTCATGTGATACTTGAAAATCTTTTTGTTCTTTTGCTTGGCCAAGAAAATACATGCTTAAATGCTCCAAGGATTGAGGGTTTTATGTGAAGTTTTTTTTTTGAACTTTTTTTTTTCCTTCTTGCTTCTCTATGCTTGGCCGAAAATCCATATGTTGGTGCTTAGAGTATGATTGTTTCATGTGACATTTAGGGGCTCTTTCTTGCTCCTTGGTTGGCCGAAAATGTATGCTTGGAGGTTAGATGTTTGGTTTGTTCCATGTGAAATTTTTGTAGCCGTTTGTTCCTCTTTTGGTTGGCCAAAATCCATGCTTGGGGTGTTTGAGATTTTCATTGTTTTCATATGAAGTTTAAAGACTCTTTCTTGTACCTTTTAGTTGGCTCAACTCTTGGCTTAAGCCGTAATCACATGCTTGAAAATCTGAAGTTTACTTGGCCTTTGAGCTTGTTTTGTACATGCCTAAAATCTGAAATTTATTTGTGGTTTTGAGTCCATCTCTACATGTTAAAGTTTGGAAGTTTTAGCTTGACTTGGAAGTCACATCCACATGCTAGAAAATCTGAAATTTACATAGCCTTTAAGTTTATTTTGTACATGTGTAAAATCTGAAATTTACTTGTAGCTTTGAAGCCTCATTCACATGCTAAAATTTGTAACTTTGGTTTGCATTTTGAAACCTCTTTCACATGTTAAAGTTAGCAACTTTAGTTTATATCTTAAAGTCACTCTCCCAAGGCTTAAGATTGGAAGTTGTAGGTGATATGTTGTGCTTCCTTTCTCTATGCTTCTTAAGCTTCAAATACATAATATTTGAAAAGAATGGTTTGCTTACTTTATGTTGTTTAGCATACTTTGAACTTGGGGCGTCACCCTTTTGAAGCATGGGAGAATTGGTTTATCATATACAATTTTCGGATTTGAAACTTGTCACTTTTGAAACAGTCATGAATGAGGCCATGCAAGCTTGTTTTTCACTCATTTCACTAAGGCTTCATATATATAACATCAAGGCTTCAATTTAGCACATTTTCCATCTCACTCCATGCTTTAACATTGTTTGAAAGTGGCTAGTTCATATGAAAATGTTTTGATTAACTCATGTGCAATTTTCAGATTTGCAAATAGCCATGGTTGAAACACTCATGAATGAGGTCATATATGCTTGTTTTTATATATTTCACCAAGCTTTCATATATAACACCTAAGCTTTGTTTTTTGCACACTCCACCTCTTCACACGCACAAAAGAGGTGTCTATCAATCTATACTTGCCAAAACGAACATTTTGCACTTATGAAG